TTTTTTTTTTTTTTTTTTTTAATGATTAGCCATGTGATATTGGGCAAATTACTTAGCTTCTTATTTCCTCATTGTAAAATGGTGATAATTATAGTCTGCCTCATAGAGTCATCAAGAAAAAATAAATGAGTAAATGAATGTTAAACGTTTAACACATTGTCTGGCCCATAGAAAGCTTTCAATAAATATTAGTAATTTTTAATTATAAGGGTGAAGGTGGAGAGGCGTAGAGAACCTTGAATGCATTCCAATTTCTTAGCTCTGGGTTGTAAAAGGACTCGAAATGCCAAATTTGAGGAGAATTAAATTATACGGATATTGTATTTAAAATCACTGGGGAGAGAAATGAAGGGTAGCCTCCCTTTACTCCTCTCACCATGGAAACCAGGCCTAGAAAACCCAGATGCACATTCTGATTTGGCTCCAAGAAAATAGCCCTTAATATGGAAACCCAGGAAACCTGCAGAATAAATTCATCAGACCAGCAGGCTCAGATATTCCCTTTTATCATCTGAGTACTGTGGGTTTTAAGCAGAAAATAGGCTGAATTATATGTGTCCATTATTTTAGAAGTGACAAAGGAGATTTATTCCCCCCGCTGGTAATAGGAAGCCAGGACATTTCTAGTTGTTCAAATATCATCTAAAAGAAGACTCATTTTTTCCCATAGAGGATTTCTTTCTCTTGGAAAGTGAGGTGGCCCTGCATGTGGGGGTTTTCTTTTCCTCTCTCTAGTTACATGAGGAAGAGAATGAGATATTAAAAGAAGTGGCTTTGCTCTTACCCTTGATTTCAAGTTCAGATTTTTTGCTCATAAATTACTCTGACCATATCGAGTCAGTACAGTTCGTTCTACCTCCTAATTCCACTGGTTTAACCAGTGGCATCATCTGTTCTAAGCATCTCAACTAATTAGGGTAGAAGCATAAATAGTGTTTATCCTTTTATCAGTTGCCAAGAACTATGCAATGTCTATCTTCCCATTTTTGTTGGGTAGGGGGCTCCCTCAAAGATAGTGCAGTCTGTGGCTTGAAACATTTAAATTCTGTTTGCTTATTAAAACATCTACTTCAGATACTTTAAAATGCCATCCTACGAATTTAAAGACTAATGTCGTATCTGATCCAGAGCCTCCCCATGTCACGCAGCTGGATTCAGCCATCCTGATGTGGAGACAGCCAATCTGTCTCTCATATCCCTTCTCCCTTTTCCCAGAAAGTACCATTTATTTTAGGACATGGAAGAAGGATACTGGAGGCACAGCAATCCTAACACAAATGCTCTGCCCCTGCCCCAGGGTGATCTCTCTTTAGTTGCTTCTAGTAGCCGACCTGGCTCACAATCCGTGACAGAGCTTCTCAAGTCTGGCTACACGGCAGCATTACCTGAAGAGCTTTTGAATGACCCTACCCTTGGGCGTCACCTCCAAGATTCTGGTATAGTTGAGCACTACTAGAACTGGTGGTGTTTCTAGTAAGCCACGCTGACAGGAACCTCCCTCCCTCCAGTCTACTGGATCCCATCCTGTGGCTAATCCATATCCCTCACCCCAACACACACTCACACACTGCTACCTATCTGTCTCCTGATGTTATGGTCCCCAGGAAGACTGAACTGCAAACTTATCAACCCTCCAGGGATAGCTCAGGCTCCATTAGTACCAGGAGCAGTCAGCAAGCGCAGTGATGAACCAGACATTGACTAAGACTGGAAAACCAGGTCACTATTCTCACAGCTGCACACAGACATTACAGACAATTCTCTTGAGGTCTGACTCACCTGTCTTGGGAATAGTGGGAAGAAGGGAAAAGCCCCTCTTGCTGAACACTTTTGGGGAAAGGGCCATAGTTCTGTCTTTACATCTCTGGGGGTGGAGGGGAGAGACAGGGCTAATTCAGCCAGATTGGTGTCTACACACAGATGCCATCTCCAACAACAGCACTTACAATGTGCAGTAATTTGTGAGAGTTAACATAATTAAATGTGAGACCTTGTTGACAATTTCGGCACCTAACCTTAGCCTTTTAGTCTCCCTCTGGGTGTATTTTGAATCTTCAGGAAAAATCCAGTTCTCCATCTTTCAAAAGGAGAACTCATGGGTTTGTCGTGGTGTTAAAACTAAAAGCAAAATAGCAAGTGGGAGGCACTGTGTGAACTTTACAGCCCTATGTATGTAATGTAGGGATATGCAAATGACAGGTAGAGTAATACTTACGTCACTTATTACCATCTGATTTGTTACTGCATTTAACTTCTATTTGATTCTATTTGTTGAAACTCTTCTCACTAGAAAGTAAGCTCTATGAGCTGGAGATCTTGTGTGTTTTGCTCACTGCAGAGTCACCTGTACCTGATACCCTGCTAAGCACATAGAGGCAATTAGTAGACATTTATTCAATCCACTACTATTCTTTGTTAGGAAGTGGGTAGAAGCTGTCCCACATAACTCATAAAACGGTCTTTCGAAGTGTCATCACTGGCCCTCCCGAATCAAGATCAGATTGGGTGCTTGCTAAATGGAAAATCCTGAGGCTCATCTCCGACCTGGGAAATCAGAAGCTTCCCCGGTAAAATAAGAGGGTTACTTGGCATTTCCAGCTGCAAATGCCTACGGATTATTGGACCCGGACTAAATGTCTACCAAATTTAAAACAAAAGCCTTGCTCTTTAACCCCGCCACTCGTGAAGCCCATACCCATGTAAGGCTTGGTGCCCGCCACGGTGGTGAGCCGCGTCTCCCTGGGCAGCATCGCCGCGATGTTGAAGTCTGTGATGTGCACGTGCCCTGGCGAGACAAAAGCACCACACAGAACGTTAAGTCCCATTCAACTCAGTGCCGCAACCACGCTTCTCCCTGAGAGCCTCTGGAAGCTTGGTCTGTCAGTTCTTGCACGCCTGTTGCCATTGGGTACAGGTAGCAGTGGCACAATTATTCTGTCCTCAAGACCAGCAGGGTCTTCAACCAGCAACTCTCCGGTGGCCAGAACACATATGCCAAACTGAGAATCTGATGGTAGTCTGCAGCTCAATCTCTCTACCCTAGGTTTTTAAGAGCTCACACTCTGGTAGTCCCACTTACAACGTTTTGTTGGCAACGTTTTAAGTTGGTATCACCTGAGAGCATCAAGAGGGAGGCAGCCAAAAGCTATTCTAAGTATCGAATTTCCAAGCATTTTCCAAGTGTCTCCTATGGGATTTTTTTTTTTCCAGAGCTAAATATCGTTACTATAAAGCTGACGTGAACATGGACACATGTATTTATTTATTTATTTATTTATGCCAAGAAAGAGTCCTTTTTCCTCCTCATTTTTCTGAAATATTATTAGCATTTTTGTGTGATAGTTTAGGTTGTCCTCTCTCCGCTCCCAACAAAATGTTTGGGGGCGAAGGCAGGGGCAAAAAAAGTCAAGTTTTATTCATAAAGAGGCTGTATAATGAGCCCTAGGCTGGGAGCCAAGACACCTGATTCCTGCCCTGAACTCTGCCCTTAATACATGATAGACTTCCCAGTCCCTTCCCTATGCTGAACTCGAGTTTCTTTTTGAAAAACAAAAGAAGAAAAAAAAAGAAAAGAAAAGAAAAAAAAGAAAAGAGTGGACTAATCATCTCTAGAGTCTCTCCCAGCTCTGACACTCATGGCCACAGAGTGGGAGTCTAACACTTCATCCCTGCCATCAGCACACTCTGCAGAGAGTGTTAGGGTCCCTGCATTTCCAGCTGCAAGGAGGAAGAGGGCAGTAGCAGAAGCTCAGGCCAATAAACCCGTTATGTTAGCTGTTGGCACAAAATTCATATGCTTTTGGAGGACCTTGAAGTGTTGGCATTTCCATTTACATGCTCTGTGGTTGTGATGCGACATGGCTGTAATCGGAGGAGATGTCATCTGCTCCTGTTTCCACGACTCACGGTCCACACTCCCCACTGCCGAACTTCTCGATCTGCTCCTTCATGGCACCCAGCCTCTGCTAAAGACAAATCTCACTGCCTTTCTTGCTGGGGTTTTGTTTTGTGCAAAATGGTGTTTTGTGTCGCTTGTGTGATGACATTTTAATAAAGTAAGAATAGCATGTGTCTAGCTGAAAGTGAACGTATTCTTGCCCGAATAGTACCAACAGATGATTTTTTTAAATTTTTATTATTTTTGAGAGAGAGAATGTGAGTGCGGGAGGGTCAGAGAGAGGGGGACACAGAATCCACGGGAGGCTCCAGGCTGTCAGCACAGAACCTGACGTGGGGCTCGAGCTCAAGAACCAGGAGGTCATAACCTGAGCCAAAGTCAGATGCCTAACCGACTGAGCCACCTAGGCACCCCTACTAACAAACGATTCTGGTAGGTCTTCTATCACTGCCTAAATTGTCTCTGTTTGGTTCTTTCTTTCTTCCCACGGGTCATGTGCACAGGGCTCATTGATCCAAATCAGGTCAGCCTGGAGACATGGTAGTTACGAGCTTGTTCTGTGGAGTCAGAATGCCTGGTTTCAAGTCCACGTCCTAGCACTAACTAGCCGTATTACCTTAAAAAGGTGACACCTTCTCTGTAAAGCTGGAATGATAACAGGGATTTTCTCACGAGTGTACTGGGGAAATCACATAAAATAATACTGGGGCAGACTTAGGCCAGCCAGCATTTGGGAAGAAGAAAGTGTTCAACTGTTGCTGTTTCTCATGATCAGAAACTTCAGTGCCATTTTGGCAAATGCATATGTGGAGACTCTGTTAGCAGTGGGATGGTAGGAAAGCCAGGAATCCGAGTGAAAAACAACCAGAAACTCCACAGGTGATTCAGAGGAGCAGCCAGGCATGTGATCCTGTGTGGATGTCCTAAACCAGCTCCAATCCTGAGATTATCAATCTCATGTGGAAAAAAAAAGGTAGAGGCTGTTTTGGAGCCTCCTGTGGTCCTCAGATCAGCATCAACAGCAACACCTGGAAATGTGTTAGAAATGCAAATTCTGGAGCACGACCCGCCCCACCCTGCGCCCACAGCCTACTGAATTAGAAACTGAGGATGGAGCCCAGAGTCTGAACAAGCCTCCCAGGTGATTCTGATACTCAATAAGTTGTGAGAGCAATCTTTTAGAACAGGACCTGGCTTTGTAGAAGATCCTGACCCGGTAAGTACGTGTTATATATTTCTTTTGAATTTGGTTGAAGGAATGTTGAATTTTATTTTTCAGTAGTATTTACATTTATTTGATTAATGGTCATTGTTCAAACAGGGAAGCCTAGTGAAATAGTCCCTATTTAATGGAAAAGTTGTTTGTGGTTAATTTCACAGGGCTCAGTGGCGCCTGGGTGGCTCAGTTGGTTGAGTGCCCGACTTCGGCTCAGGTCATGACCTCACAGTCTTTGAGTTCCAGCCCCACGTCGGGCTCTGTGCTGACAGCTCGGAGCCTGGAGTCTCTGTGTCTCCCTCTCTCTCTGTCCCTCAGAACTCATGTTCTGTCTCTCTCTGTCTCAAAAATAAATAAAAACATTAAAAAAATTAATTTCACAGGCCTCAGAAGTAGCAGAGATGGGATTAGAATCAAGAAGTTTGTCCAGGCCCCCTTTATTGGGTTACAAATCTCCCCAAAACGTCTTGTGCTTTATCACAAGACCAAAGAGCTGGATACACTGAAACAACCACTTCCCGGTTGGCTCAGAGGTTGTTTCCCTGCCACGGTGCACAAGGAAGGGTGGGGAGAAATTGTCTGAGGGCCAGCATCTCCCGGAACATGGAGCCTGGTGGTCTTAGCCAAACAACGCAAGCAGAACTCCACAGAGCCCATGGACACTGGCCTGAAGCTACAGGGTCAGGCCCAGGATGCTGCCATACCTGGCAGTCTCTCTGCCGGGTTTCGACTGTGCTGTGAAAATGCATCTAAGTGCTGACTCACAGGGGAAGGCTCAGGTGCTCACTGGTTGAGGGACGTGGGAATTGCCTTGGAAATGAGGGACCATAAGCCCAGGACCTTACTCAGAGTTTCTCAACCTCTTGGACCTGGTAATTCTTTGCTGTGAGGACTGTCCTCTGCATTGCAGGAAGTTCACTATGGATGCCAACAGCACCTTCCACTCCTGGCTGGAATCCTGACAATCAAAAACGTCTCCAGACACTGCCACGTGTCCTCTATGGGGACAGGAAGTAGAGCTAAACCATCCCCAGTTACAACTGCTACTTTAGGGTGAAGTTTTTCAGGTACAGGACTCAGAAGGTCCTGATTGGGTGCCCCTAGAAAAGCAGTTTTGCCTGGTCTTTTCACCTCTGTACCTTGAGACAGAGGATCACATTACAAATCTAAAATGATAGTAATGAGTCATTTGCTCCAGCTGTCATTTTTGTCTTGACTTACACATTTTTCTCACTGTGCCTGTGTTCCGCCCGGGGATCTGTCTCAACACAGGTCTCCAGGACACTATAACCGGTCAGCTGGTGTTCCCCAACTTTCAAACATGTCTGCCACTCGAAGATACTGATAGTTTGTGTGTCATATCATCCTGGGGTTCTTGTTAAAAATGCATATCCTTAGGCACTACCAGAAACTTAATGAATTTGGTTATTTGAGACCTACTGAATTTGAATATAGGGCGCTATGATTCTCTCTCCATATATATAGATTGATATAGATATTTATAAAAATATATAATGTATATTATATAATGAGCATATAATGTATATTAGAATATGTATATTATATATATACAATATATATGTTATAATACATTGTATTATATGTTTATGAATATATAAATATACTTCTATGTAAATTCATACATTACATATAATTATAATGCATTAAATACAAATATAACAACATCTTTTTCTTAAAAAGATGCTACCCACTTGATATTTAGGCCCATTTTGGGACTCCGCAAGGACGAAGCTGTTCAAGCAGTAGGCTTAGTTCTTCATACCCCCCGAGTGAGTTTTTGCTTTTCTCTGTTCCCTGGGACTAGGGAGGATATTAAGGAAACTAAATTATAGATGATGCCATAATTGTCGTTTTCTCAGCTATGCCAGGCAGACACTATCGCTCCTCTGGATGTAGCATTTATTTCCTGAATAATTTAAGACAAACACAAAAATTTAGACACCATGGAATTGATAGAACTGGATGGGGTACTTCAGTTGGTAGGATATGAAAATATGTATCAGGACAATTGATGATGAGCCATCCAAGATCTAATGCCAAGCTTGGGCTCTGAGACAGCGAATGAGACATGTGTGTGTGTGGGGGGGGACAGTAACAGGTATGTTCTAAATTAAAAACATTTTTTCACTCAAATTCTGAATGTTCACTGACGTGGTGGAAAGATTATCCATTTTACAAAAGGATTTAGTTCCTTTAAATCGGTCTTTTCTGATGAATATGAACCAGTATGGATCAGGAAGAATAGAACGGAGTTTCTGCCTGTCACTGACGGGTGCTGAATTAAAACGTAAGCAGTGTGATGTGACACACAGCTCGCTTGGAGAAACAGGCGTCGAAGGAATGTCGGAGACAGACGGTCAGCAGCCACGGCTGCTAAAATCCCAGTGCAAAAGGTGCATGTGATGGCCCATCAGGGGTGCCATTCTGTAACTGTCCATGGAGAGGACAAATTGAGGGCTTCAGATATGAGACGTGGAAAATCACACCAGAAGACACTCAAAAAGGCAGGCATCGATTTGTGGGTCAGCTGATTCTCACAAGAGCAGCTCTACAAAATGAGCTGGGGGGTGGGAGTTACCAGGAATGTGTTCATTTAAGAGTGGTTCGGGGCGCCTGGGTGGCGCAGTCGGTTAAGCGTCCGACTTCAGCCAGGTCACGATCTTGCGGTCCGTGAGTTCGAGCCCCGCGTCAGGCTCTGGGCTGATGGCTCAGAGCCTGGAGCCTGTTTCCGATTCTGTGTCTCCCTCTCTCTCTGCCCCTCCCCCGTTCATGCTCTGTCTCTCTCTGTCCCAAAAATAAATAAACGTTGAAAAAAAAAAATAAAAAAAAAAATAAAAAAAAAAGAGTGGTTAATTACGGTCCCCGAGCAATGCCTGAAAGCCTTAGGTTTTCAGAATCTGAGTAAACAGACAGCGAATAACCTTAAAAAATTATTTTCTTCAGAAAGGGATCCCCAGGGCAGTGTTTTGGAAATAGCTCTCTTGTTTGCTTCTATCCCATTCACATATCCACTCCCTTCCAAAATACTGTTTCTCTTACTAACTGTGGTTATTCTCCAGGTGAGTTCAGGATGAGAAATTAAGACAAAAAGTCCTCTTAAGTCATTGTTGAAACCCCAAAACTTATGAATGGGAGGGTCAGTACACTAGGTACTAGGTGTAGATTTGGATGGTCCCTCAGGCCCACTGAGATGGCCACTCCTACTCCCCTAAGCAACAGAGCCCCAGCCTTACCAACAGTAAAATGCCCTGATAAATGGTCTTAGCCTCCTGTGCACAGAAGGAAAAAGCAGAATAGACTATTGAAAGTGTTGCCTGAGAATTAGGGCTCAACAAAACTGTTTAAACACAAGACATAACAAGTAGATGCACAGAAGATTTGGCATATCTCTTCTGAAATCAAAAGAATCTTTAGTAAAGACAGGTAAATGCCCAGCTTCACTGACCATCTAATACAGACACAGTCACATAAAACAAGATGCTAAGGCCTAAGTTTCCTTCTTTAGGGGAGAAAGCCACTATTACCTCGTGGAATTATATTAATATTTAACATCTGAGTGATTTTTTTCTGGTAGGCACAGCAATTGAGCAGATTATAAATAGTATGCTCATTTGTTTTTACAGCGGCTCTAAGAATTAATTACTCTTTTGGTTCCTCAAAGAACTAAGATTCAGAGTAAGTTTAGACAGTCTTTTGAAATTCTCAGAGCTAGTCAGGGGTGAACTAGGTTTTGAACTTAAGCAATTTGGCTCTGGAATCCACACTCTTAACTACAATATTATACAATTATACTTTCACAAAGGTAGTTTCTTTTTTTAAATTTAATTTTCTTTATTTTAGAGGGGGGGGGGTGGACAGAGGAAGAGAGACAGAGAATCCCAAGCAGGCTTCATGCTCAGCATGGAGCCCGACACAAGGCTTGATCTCATGACCATGAGATCACGACCTGAGCCAAAATCCAGAGGTGGACGCTTAACCGACTAAACCACTCAGGCGCCCCACAAGAGTAGTTTCTAAGGGCAGGTAAACTTGAAGATTAATTTATTTCTAGACTTTTCTCATAATCTACAATCACCAAGTTGACAAGAAAATGAGGAGAAAGAAATCAAAGGAGAGAGAATAGGATGGCTTGATGTTAGAAATAAGATGAAGCCATGTTTGAGGCCCAAGATAAAAACATTGTTCTCTGAATGGAAGGTAAATTTTGAAAAGGCTTATAGGTCAACAGGACCTACATATCTCCCTTCAGAACCTCAACAAATGGTAGAGCAATCTGTTGTACATAAAGGCAATCGGATAAGGGAGCAAGTGGGGACAGAACCCCAAATTGTGTTCTGCTTGACCAGCCATGCGCCTTCATAAGGCTGTGGTGGGCAGAGAACCTTTTTCTAAATTGTGCAACAGTGGCCTCATTGGGTGAGGGAAGGCCCCTCTCAAAATTGTGAAGCTCCACAGAGTTTATCTGCACCAGGGTGAGAGAGGCTCCTGGCTTCTTACTTGAGGCAGGGACAGCTGGTATTCTCAGGAAAGTCACCTTCATGCTAAGTCTCACTATTGCTCACATTTCTGAGATTCTGAGCATCTGCTCCCAAATGTCAGAAGTAGTAAAGGGAAGGAAGAAATTAGGCCCTGGAAGGAAGTGGAAAGAATCTTTTTAGACAGTCCATAAATAAATAATGACCCTGAGCTTTGAAATTAGAGGTCATACACAAAAGTGTTTCTTAGCCCTCGAGCACAGGTAGGGGCTGGCCACTCAGGTGTAAAATGCACCCAGGTAAATAAGTAATGAGCAATGGACGGTACTTGGGAGTTTCGGTCCCACCGTAAATCCCTTTTGTAAAAGTCAAATGAATAAGGAGCTGTGCACGTTTAGGACTCCCACATCCAACAGCTTCCTAAACACACAAGAAAGAGCTTACTGCCACTGGAACATTTATATCATGCAGGCTGTGGGTCCTACAGGTCTGCCTTCGTGAACCAATATATCCAAACATACATTAAAATAAACATTGGGAAGAGATGACACACATTAATCATTGCTGGCGAAAGCTTGCTCTCAAGATACCTTTAATCAGTGTTGCTTGGGCTTTAGGCATCCACTGGTCACCTTCACGGTCATTGCCATATCCCTGTAGCACTTTCACATCTGGGTGTGCCCCACACTGCTGTCTACTTTTTCTTTAAACTGGCTTTTTTTAACTTTTTAATTTTTAAAATTTAAAACATTTATTTTTATTTATTTAAAAAAA